GGGAGGGAGGAGGAGGAGAGGGAGGAAGGGAGGAGGAGAGGAGGGGGAGGAGGAGGGGGGAGAAGGAGGAGGAGGAGGGGAGAAGAAGAGGGAGGAGATATTACGGACACATCACCAATGGTTATGCCACTTAAGAAAATCTCTCCCCTTCTTCCAACAACCGTTAACTGCTGATAGATCTCCAGGAGGTGGAGCCTCATGAGTTTCTCCCCGATCAAAGCCGCTGAAAATATTTGAAATTTTGTTGCTGATTGACTGACTGATTGAATAAATGGATCTTTGTGTCCTTCACACAATGCCTGGCCAAAACCAAATTTGTTGAGTTGATGCGTCAACGATTGACCAAGCCCAAAAGTACAGATGGGAAGAAGTAGAGCTGCACAAAGCCTCAGTCAAGTTCCCAGCTAGGGGCTAAGGATTTTGTTTGGTTGGTAGAGGGCTTGCCTGGCATGCACAAAGGCCCGGGTTTGGCAGCACATACCTATACTATCACACTTAGGAGGTGGTGGCAGGAGGATCTGGAGGTCGAGGTCATCTTCAGTTGAGTAACATGTTCGAGACCAGCCTGAGATCCATGAGACCTTGTCCTGAAGACAAACAGCAGCAGCAGAGAAGCTAGCTGGCACTACAGTGTGGTGGCACACACCTGAAGTCCCAACACTTGGGAGGCAGACGCAGGAGGATGTGGAATTTGATGCCAGTCTGGACTACATGGCTAGACTCTGTCAACAAACAAAGCAAACAAAACAAAACACCCTGAAAACAACAAAAAACAAGAGCAAAGGACTGGAAAGATGCCTCAGTAGCTAAGGGCACTTACGGCTCTTGCAGAGGACCCGGGTTCAGTTCCCAGTATGTGTGCTGGGCAGCTCACAATTGACTGTAACTCCAGATCCGGGGGACCCAATGCCTCTGACCTCCTCTGACACCTGCACTCGCGTGCCCATACTCCCACACAGAAATGTGCAGGTACACATGATTAAAATTATAAAAATTAATCTTTGACAAGCAGTGGTGGTGCATGCGTTTAATCCCAGCCCTCAGGAGTCAGAGGCAGGTGGTTCTCTGTGAGTTTGAGGCCAGCCTGGTCTACAGAGTGAGTTCCAGGACAGCCAAGGACTATTACAGAGAGAAACCTCTAAAATCTAATAATAATAATAATAATAATAATAATAATCTTTAAAACAAAAGGAAGCTAACTAAAGCTCTAGTAGTATATCAAGACACTTGGTGTCCCAGCAGAGTGTGAGATGAGAGTCCAGGAAAAGGAGGCCAGAACCATGATGTGCGAGTTGTTAACTTCACCCAGGGTTGATTTTAGTTAAGCCCAGGAAAGCAACTCGTTTCTGTCCTCTCCTTCACCCTTCAAGGTGAAATTCTGCAAGCAAAGCCTGCTGCCCGCTGCGTGTCTTGAGTTAGGAGCCAGGAGGAGGGCTGCTGTTATGTTGGTGGAGGAAGAATTCAAAAATAGGAACCCTGCTGCCTTTGCTGGACAGCAGAGCAGAGGTCCAGCTGTGTGGGGTCATCTGCCCAAAGACAAAACAAGGATGAGAAAGAGGCTCCCCGGCTACAGTGCCCCAAATCTGCTGACCTCTGTAAGGCAGCTGTGCCTCTGACCCATTTTCACTGTGGTGGTGGGTGGAGAATGCGATAGAATTGAACCTAGACAAAGTCTGGTGGCTGGTTCTGGAGTCCAGTTCATCCTGGTTACGTCCCACCAGGTCCCACACTATGTAGCTTTCTGGGTTTAATTACGGAGACTCTGAACTCCAGAGAAGATGGTTTCAGTGCTCAGATCTAACACCTGTCAGAGGCAGAGGAGGACAGAAATGTCCATTTGCTCCACGAGCTTCCAAGTATTGATAGAGATAAATGTGGGAAGATACTTGAGATCCTAGAGCCTGGAATACTTGGATATATGTGTGTGTGTCACACACACACACACACACACACACACACACACACACACACACACACACACACACACACACACACACACACACACACAGAGATGGGTGCATATTTGCCGTGTTAAAGATCAGACTCAGGCTTTCATGCTCACTAGGCAAATGCTGAGCTACATCCCAGTGCTATAGTTTAAAAGTTAAGTAAAAGTCTGCAGAGCTAGTGAGAAGGTTCAGCAGATAAATGTGCTTTCCAGCAAGTCTGAGGACCTGAGTTCAATCCCCGGGTTCGTCTGGTGAAGAGAAAGAACCAACTCTTGTCCTTTGATGTCCACATATGGACCATGGCACACCCATCTAACCAATACAACTGTGAAGTGTAATGAAAATACGCTTTAAGGTGGTATGGGCGTTGTGAGGGTTTAAATTCCTGAAACATTTCTGATGGTCACAAGTTTTCACTTGTTTTAAAAAACAATAGAAACAGCACAAATCCATTTTAGACGGTGAAAGATTCATACAATCTGGAGAAGCAAGAGTGTGCAAACCCCTTCTGAACAGGCACAGCACGTGTCTGTTTGTTTTAAATTTTTGTTTTTGTTGAGACAGAATTTTACTCCATAGCCCAGGTTGGCCTGGAACTCGACACGATCCTCGCGCCTCAGCA